GGGCTTCGGCCGCGGCCCTGATGCCGCCGGCCGCTGTGGGAAGGGATCCCTGCCCCAGGTGTGCTCCCCGCGGGCACCTGGAGCCGCGTTTTGGGAGCTGGGTCTGGTCCCCCTGCTCCCAACGGGAACGTGACTCTTCCCCTCCCGCATGCTGCTGCCAGATGAGGACAGCCTGTCCGGGGACGCCAGCGACCTGAAGATGCCAGAAACGCCGGCACAGGTAGAGCCCGAGAGCCGGGCCGTCCCCGTTCTCGCCTCCTCGCTCCTGCCGCCAGCCTCCCGCTGTCTCTGTGGTCCCCAGGCTGGGGCGGTGGAAGTCCCCAAGGGAGCAAAGCAAGAGAAAGGCTGCAGCTGGGGTGGGGGGAGGGTTTTCAGGAGCAAAAGCTCAGCGGGGAGGGGGCTGACAGCCCTGCTGCTTGCCCCAGTGGTCCGGACTGTGTCACAGGATGCTCTCTGCTCTCGGCAGAACGGTGTTCACAGCTCACCAGCTGCAGGGGCTGGAGAAGGCTTTTAACGAAGGATGTCTATGCCCGGGAGATGCTGGCAGTGAAGACGGAGCTGCCGGAGGACAGGATACAGGTAGGTGGCTGCACCAGTGTCCTCTCTCCCCATGGAGCCTGCGGGCTGCCGGCGCCCGGCTGAGTCTTCTGCTCTATGGTCAGTGAGTGCAGGCAGTGGGAACGTGGTGGCACTGAAATGCTGCAGGGCGCTTGGAAGTATGGGGAGGGGCGGGAGGAAGGCGCGGCTCAGTTTCCACACACTGGCACTGAACAGGCTCCAAATGGAAATGCAGAACCAGGGGACTGAGCTGGCCCCAACAGCTGCTCTCTGCCAGCATCTCAGCTCTGTCCTCTGGAGACCCAACTCAGGCAGGAGCTGGAGTGATTCAGGAGCTGCTGGGCCAAGCCATGTCCCACTAGCTTGTCCGTTTGAGGGACACATGGTATTTTAGGGCCTGATCCTGCCCCACTGTGGAGCTCATTGGCTTAAGAATGGGGTGGTAGTCTGAGCAGCAGCCAGGTCGTATCTACGTCCCTTGCGCCTTTGAATGCAGTAAGGTGGGGGGGAGAGGGACCTGAGCATCCTCTGTCATCATCGGTCACTGCATTATGGACCCCTTTTTCTGGAGAGGTTGGTGGGCTGTGTGGAGGCAGCAGAGGGGCTCTGTGGACAGGCAGAGTGTAGGGTGACATTGGCTGGTATCACCCTCCTGTGTCACAATCAGCCTCTTGTAACGTGTGCTCCCTCTCCTCCCTTCCTCCCCGCTCTCACTGACACCCATGTGTGTGCCCCTTCTCAATCCCCTCCCTCCCCCCCGTCCCGGCCGCCCTCTCACTGCCTCCTGCACATCCGCACCCAAACCCCTCCACACACCCCCATGGCTGCCCCTTTGCCCTGGACGCACACTTCCCTGTGCCCCATGGGCCCTGGATGCCTGGCCGTGGGGGCTGTCTCCTCCCCAATCCCACCCCTCTGTGCTCTCCTGGCTGTTACCTTTGAAGGTTTGGTTTCAGAACCGAAGAGCCAAGTGGCGGAAGCGGGAGAAGTGCTGGGGCCGGAGCAGCGTGATGGCCGAGTACGGCCTCTACGGGGCCATGGTGAGGCACTCCATCCCTCTGCCCGAGTCCATCATCAACTCTGCCAAGAGTGGGCTGGTGGGATCCTGTGCCCCATGGCTGCTGGGTAAGTGAGAGCCTGGGGCTGGCAGGGTCGAGGGGCAGCTGCAAAGCTAACAACCCTTCTTCTTTCATATGGCTGTCCTCGCCTTTTCCCAGAAAAGAACAGGGCCTCGGCCATGAGCTGTACACAGGCCGCCAAGCACCCTGGCTTTTCCACTCCCTCCTTGCAAAGAACAACTGGGAAAGGGAAAGCCTTTTACTGCCATGTCAGACAGGTGCCTGCACTTGGTTAGGTATCGCTTTCTAGTGCTAGCAGCCAGTGTGGGAGTTGCAGAGTGTCTAGGAAGTCACCACCCTCCCCCTGAAACTGAAGATAATGTTAGTGCTGCCTCAGAGCTACCCTCTGCTCATACATGGTCCTACGCTGAGGCAGCACTCAAAACCCAGGGTGGGATGGGCCGTCACGGCACCCCTCACCCTGTAAGTCTTCCGCACCGCAGGGGAGGTACGGACCGATTCTGCTGTAAGACATCCTGTCGGGCTGCAAAGAGCAGGTGGCAGGGCTCCGGGTCGGAAAAGGCTGGCCGGTAGTGTGAGCTTTCCTCAGGATGCGAGCGAGAGCTGAAGGAAGCAGCAGGAGGGCAGGAGGTGATGCTGAGTGGTCCCAGGCAGAAATAAGCAACCGGTGCCCTTGGCTTTGCTCTCTCCCCTCTGCAAGGCATGCACAAGAAGTCCATGGAGGTGAGCAGGAAGGCAGAGGCGGAGAGCCAAGAGAAGCTGGCAGCTGGCTGGCGAGCGGAGCAGGAGGAGGAGGAACTCAAAGGGAAGCAGGCCAGTTCCCAGAGGGGCTCTGACAAGCTTGGCCCTGCGAAAGACTCGGAGGACGCAGCCATCGACCTCTCCAGGACAGCCAAGCATGAGAAAAGGGGTGTACTGATGCAGTGCATCAACGGTGACCCCCCAATGGAGCAGAAAGACAGAGATCACTGAGCTTGGGCTCCCCCAGAGGAGACCAGACCTCACAGCTTTCTGGCGAGATAATAATATTTATTGATTTATTGATATATATATTATTTTTTTTCTTAAATAACTGAACTTTTATCTGAATTCAGGGCATTTTAAAACTGGTCACTCACATCCCTTTGTCCCCTCACTTTTAAGCTGTTCAGTTCTCAGCAGAGCCAGGGTGGAGGGTGGGAGAGGTGTCCCAGCGGGGCCAGGAGCAGTGTGAAAACGAGACCATGTTGTGGTCAGCATGGACCACTGCTGGGGAAGAGCCG